CTTGTCGCCGGCCTCTTTTCCCTTCCCTCGCCTTCGTCCTCCCTTCTCTCTCCCGCAAGAAGGCGGCTGTCTGGCCACCTCGTCGGCCACAAGGAAGAGAAATGGGTGCCGTAATTACCCGCAGCTGCGCCCGAGCATGGTGTCTACTGACCTGCTGTTCCTGTCCCTTCAAATCCCTTCGGCACAAGAGACCACTAGGCAAACGCTCATGGCCCGCGTCCCCAAACAGAAAGCAAGAATATGAATTTTGAGCTAAAATTGATCTGCCTGAGAACGTTTGATTTTCTTTTCAGTTTGCACCGTGCCGTTGTATCACAAGAGTTAATGTAATATTTAAAACATCCCCCTGCTCTTAATACCACCCTTTACCACACAAATCATCAGCTGCCTGAAAGCGGCCACATGGCAGCACACACACAAAGAAACTTTTCTTTCATCTCCTTGTTGTCAACGTGAAAAAGAAGATGACTGGCCCTGTTACAATGACAGGAGAAGCTTGCGTGTTGCTGGCTGCTCCTGAATTTCAGCCGTGGTCTAATGCTTTTTGAAAGCTCTGCCCTTCCACGCTGTGTCTCGCTGCTAGCCATCGAGTACAGCTTCTTATTACAAGGAGAGGGAGAGTTTAAAAGCTGGATTTAGCAACTCATCTGCCCGTAGGAGATGCTCGCTATATTGTCCCTAAGAGAACATACTGCAGCGTGCGTGAAAACTGATGCGCACCCAGAGTCTCGTTAGTTCCATGTGAGAAATGCTTCGTGCTATAGCAAGTTGTTGAAAGCTTTTTATATTTAGCCCTGGAATGCCACTGGCTGCATCCCTTCACCAGATGCTGTGTGTTAATCTCCTGTTTACACCTCTAGGCTGACGCTGGGTAAACCCCTGGGAGAAGGTTGCTTTGGGCAAGTTGTCATGGCCGAAGCGGTGGGGATTGACAAAGACAGGCTAAAAGAAGCAGTGACTGTGGCAGTGAAGATGTTGAAAGGTAAGAAAATTGGGTGATTAGGGATCAGAATGGGTGATATGGCAGTTCTCATCCACGAAAAGTTTCTTTTATGGCATCTGAACTCTGTCATCATGGCGGGGGTCAAAGAGCACATAGCTGACCTCAGCCTTCAGCAGTTTGGGGTGTAAATCTGCGCCCTTGACAGCCTGTTTATCTTGAGCAGTGAGTATTTAGGAGCCAGGAGATGTATTAGCATCGTGTGGGTCTCTGCTTTTAGTTTAGTTCACGGCAGAGGCTGTCCATGTGTAGGTCCTAGCCCATTCAGTCCAGGTGGTTGGTGCCTATTTATTTTGAATTTAATTGTAAGGTTAGTTTGCAGGAAAGGCATAGTTATTGGAGGTTTGACAGCTAAGGACAGCATTTTTATGTGATATTACTGTGTCGCCTCTGATCATATAACACTGAAGAAATGGTCAGTCCATGAAAGAGATTGAGACTATTTTTTGTTAGGACATAACACATGACTTCGTATAATGTATAGTGTATACTGGAAAACAAATCCTGTATTCTGCATTTTGAAGCACACATTTTACACCAAGTGGTGAGCCTTAGTGACGTTCAGGCTGGCATGCTAGAAAATATGAACTGAACCTGTGTCTTGTACAGATGATGCTACAGAAAAAGATCTGTCTGACCTGGTGTCAGAGATGGAGATGATGAAGATGATTGGAAAGCATAAAAATATCATCAATCTCCTTGGAGCCTGTACCCAGGATGGTGAGTAGAGCAAAGAATGTAATTCAGGACTTTCCAACAGGTCTGCAAAAGTCTCATTAATCATAATTTTTCAAGAGTTTTTAAGGAAGCAGTCATGCCGTGGTGGGATTTTTAGATATTTCCCTAGCTTAGCAGCAATATTTTAACTTCTGTCTCTCATTATACTTGCAGCTTTAATATGAGAAAAGGTACTATATCATAGGAAAACTCTCTAATCCCTTGCTGTAGGAAAAAAAAAAAAAAAAGACATTTTACAGGGGCTTTACCCACGCCTGTTGTTCGAATTGTCAGTTCTGCTTTAGTGGAACTTGTATCCCATAAATTTGAAATGAGCACTTTTACTCTCTAAAGGCCACAGTGTTTTTATTAAAAGCTAGTTATGTCATGTAAAGTAATGCAGAGTGGCATAAAACTCTAGAAATTAAAAAAATCTTAAGTACTTTCCCCTTGTTTGAGATCTCACAGCATTTTTTTGATTGAGAATGCTTGCTTTTCAGTACATGGCATGGTCTGGAAGGAATAGGCACTGGGTCTGGGTTTAGGTACTTCCAGCTCTGCCACTATCCTGCTGCGGAGCTTTGGGCCAGTCGCTTCGCCAGGTCCGGACCTCCTTTTCTTTCAAGTTGTGCTTACTGATTTCACAGTTAAACATTTATTAATTTAGTTCATTTCTTATAGAAAGCTAAAAGCTTCCATTTTACCCTTCGACCTTACTCCAGTTTTCACACGGTTCTGTTTATCCAAAGGTCCATTGTACGTGATAGTAGAATATGCTTCCAAAGGAAACCTGCGTGAGTACCTGCGAGCACGCCGGCCCCCGGGGATGGAGTATTCGTTTGATATTAACAGGGTACCAGAAGAGCAGATGACATTCAAGGACTTAGTGTCATGCACATACCAGTTGGCGAGAGGCATGGAGTACCTGGCTTCACAAAAAGTAAGTAGAACTCGGCAAATACTGCACAAAGCACATGGTGCGTATTTGTTTCGCACTTTTAGTTTAGTTTTGTTCTCATCTCGTTTGCGTTCAAGAATTTGCTGGGAGAAGAACCTTTCTCAAACAAGTTGCATAATCCATACTCTTGAAAATCAGTGGGAAAATTCATACACTTAAAGTTTTTAACCTCCTTTTAACGACATTGCTAAAATGAGGCCCAGAATGGATCGTTTAAAGTAAATATTGCGTACATATCTGCACTTTGAATTCATAAGCACAGGTGGTCACTTGATTACACAAGTCACATTACTCCACCCATGAGACAGCAGGCACCATTTGCCTTCTGTTTTCAGTCAAATCGACCAAATCAGCTCACATAGTGATGTAAAATAAATGAGATCAGTTAGTGAAAGGGTTTACATAATGCTAACAGGCAGAGTTGAGAAGACCACAAGATGGCCAAGGCAAAAATTGTGAACAGAAGAGGCAAAAATAAATGGAGTGAATTAGTCACTTAAATTAGGCGCTTTACTTAAAACTGATGTTTGTCAGGAGAGCAAGCTTGTTGAAAGAATTTATTTATCCTGTCATGTCCCTAGACACTTATTCCTTCAACTTTTCTTCAAACATTTTTTTTAAACCAGTAGTTTCATTAAATTATAGTTATGAAACCTTAAATAGCCCTGTATAACTCTGTAAACGTATTGTGGCTTAGTGGACAAGCAATCATGAATACCCTGGGCAGTGTTTGGACACGATGGTTAAACCAGAGCACCAGATATTGATGATAAGCACTTCCTGCAAGGTGTGGAGAGGTTAGCGGGATTTGTACCGATTGCCAGTCATGTCCACTCCCAAGTATGGAGCTGTTTTTAACCAAAGACCAGAGCTGACTGTAAACCTCCATTCCTGTTGTGTAGAGTCATGATTTTTTTTTGTTGCTTTTCTGCACTTGTAGAGGTTAGGGGAAGGGGGAATTGAAGTTTAATTTTGCTTTTATCCTTTTGTTTTGAAATAGTAATTCCCAGCGCAGTAGGGTAGACAGGGAGACATGCATGACACAGAGACAAAATCTCCTAATGAAGTAAGCATGAGTATTGTATTAGGTAAAGCACTTTAGGATATCTCTTTCTAAGATGAATGAAACATTTACCTGGCGATGAGCCATGTCCCAAGAAAATAGAACTGTTGTGAAAGGAAAAAATAAATCTTTTGATTGGTAAATCTTGAGAACAAGCGTCCACCTGAGAAGCTCTGAAGTGCTGCTGTAGGACACTGCCAAGAAGGCATGCGTTCGCACAGATGCACGCGGCAGAGCCATTTCATCCTTGATCCAGTTCCTTTGCAAAAACACTTGATCAGCGCTGCGCCGAATGTGAGGCATTGCATAACGCAGAGGGAAAACAAAGGCAGCACATAGTAAAACTGCGCATTCCGGTTCTTCGGATATCCCACCATTTCTGTTTGTATTTCACTAGTTCTTTTCCCCTTCGGGATCTATTTACTGAGCTGGAATAAAAAGAGAGCTGGTCTTCTCACAGTATTTCCACCATGCAGGAACTGTGAGGAGGCCAGTGTTCTGGTTATATCAAGCCAATAAATGGCTCACTGAGACCAAAAAAAGAAAAAAAAAAAAACCAAACCCAAAATAAAACACCCCCGCCCCCCCCCAAAAAAAACCAAAAAAACCCAACCAAAGAAATACGTAAAGAAGATTTTTGGACCCCTACTTTTTGCCTTACAAAAAGTTTTTGCCTTACAAACAATTGTACGTTGGAAATGGGATGTTGTTCCTAAGTTGGATGGATGCTTTTTAAAATTGCATTGACGTCCTCTCCACCATTCCAGTACTGTGCAAGAATGACAGGGGAGCTCCAGATGCAGGGACTGGCCCAGATCATTGCAAAGAGACAGCAAATCAGTAGGGCCAGAGGGTTGGCTATGAAGCCTGTCAGATACGGAAATCAGTAATGGCACCGTTTTGAAGATAGGAAGAGTCTCAGTTGTAAAACTGTAGAAAGCAGAAATATACTGACAGAAGATAACAGGGTTTGAATCATTCGGTGTATTCACTCAGAGGTATTACGTGCCATCTGAGATGGTCTATGGTACCCCCAGCCTCCCGCTCTGGAAAGGCATGGGTGTGCTGTAGATCCTGTGTCGGCCCTGGTAGTCTCATCAAGATGCCTTGGATATCACAGGGCACCTGAGATGACAGTGTGTGCTTCTATTTGGGCAACTGAACTGAGTTCCTAGTGTCTCAGAGGATGTTCTTGTAGGGTTTGAGAACAGGGGCAGGGAAGCAGGAAGGCTGGCCTATGTTGTTTCTGCTACCATAGCATTGCTGATGCTGAATTAGAAGACTGATTTGATGCTGAAAGCACGTACTGATGTCTGGTCCTGCGCACACGAAGGCATTGCTGGAGCAGGTTTTTCCTGGCAGTTCCCCATGACTAACCCAGTGAGGAGCAGAAGCTTTGTAGGCTCATTTTACCCATGCAGGATAAGAGATCTCAGAAAATTGCTGGGGCAAGTTATAATGCAAGAAAGAAATTGGCTGTTGTACAGTTTTTTGTAGTGGTTCAGTCCAGCATGTCTATGCACATGCTGAAATAAAGAGGACAACATAAAGAGTAATCCAAAATTGAGGAGGGGAAAATAAAAAAAAAGGATGTTTAACTTGAAAAGAAGTAGAATATCCTGGGGGGATTCTGAATACGAAGTTTCTTACCATGCTCCTGCTGCCATCAACCCTAATAAGGCTGCTTAAACACAAGAATATTATCCAGGGCAGTCACAATATCCTTTCAGTGTCAAGAATCAGTTGTAAGTTTTCAGGATAATGCTGAAATGAAGGAAGAATCTCTGAGGAGATAATATTTTTCGTTTCAGTACCAAAGCTGTTTAAAAAACAAACAGCCCAGCCCAGATTGTGTTGGTTTGGTTTGTTGCCTTTTTTTTTTTTTTTAATTAAATTGTTATAGTCTCATGGTTGAAGTAAATACACACACCCTAGATATCTAGTTTGAAATGATGTACTGTGGATATATCTTATATTAAGATCTTTTATATTAAAAATGGTTACACTGATCCAGACTGTCAGGTGTTAGCTCTGGTGAGATGATATAATTTAAGAGAAGCAACTTAATAAAGCGCTCATTAACAGTTTTTTGGAATGAAAGTGCTGCAATACCTGTACCTGGGCACGTGTAATGGAGGGTGAATCACAAACAGCGTGGCACAGTTTGGGTCACCGCCCAAGCTTTCAACCGTAGCAAACTGTAAGTCTTAAATAAACCAGGCTTTTCTAAGAGCTTCTTAGGGCCGTTGTGCACCCTGGAAACACCAGCTGAGGGGATGGTTTGCAGTAATTAAGACAATCATATTTCACAGGCTTGTAGTAAATGTGTGGCTTTCCCACCTTGTGATTTTGGTTAAAATCTGTAAAGGAGACTTAGTTATGGTGTAGAAATAATTTCATTTTTACAGCAGTTTATTTCAGTGGGCCTTTTTTTTTTTTTTTTCTTCTTTCCAGTGTATCCATCGAGACTTGGCTGCCAGAAATGTTTTGGTAACTGAAAATAACGTCATGAAAATAGCAGACTTTGGTTTAGCCAGAGACATCAACAACATAGATTATTATAAAAAGACTACTAATGTAAGTGGATGGTTTTCTTATCTCTGGAAACAAGTGTTTCTTTCAATGACTCATTTCAAAACTATGGTTATAAACTTAATGGGCTTCTTGTACAGCAGCCTCACTTTTCATCACAGAAAAGAGGGATCAAGGACATAAGCATTTCTGTCTCTTCTTATGCTGACAGTTAGTTAAAAAGATAACCAAAAAGGCTGTATATTGTATGATTTATTAGAAATACTAAAATACAAGAACTGTTGTTTGTGTGTCCCTGGCTGCAATCACTTGAAATAAGTAGAAATATTCCTGTTGATCCCAGCTCATTTTGTACCAAGCCTAGGATCTTGAAAAACACTGTATAAATGGTGCTAGCAATAACCATAATAAAAATCCTGTTTGTGTGTGGGAATGCCACATACAGCTTTATGCCTTTTGCCTGGACTTAGCTTGTTATGTACAAGCTATGGTGGTAGTATCAAAGTGGGGCTAGAGATTGAGAAAATGGATTTTTACTCTCCGCTCTGTCACCATTTTGCTGTTTAACCTGTACCAAGTCAAGAAGATAAACGTTTCAGATGTAGTTATTGATGCCTAGTTTGAACAGATTACACCTGGGTTTTGATGGGAACTTTGCAGAACTCATTCGGTTCTACCGACTTTAATATTTTGTATAAATATTAATTATTATTAACATCATGCTAAGTGGCTTATCTATGAAAGTAAAGCACTAAGTGATTAATGGTATTTTAATGGTAGTATCTGCCTAATTCCAAAAGACAGAGCAACCGGGTACGGGTACGTCAGTACTGGAGGGAATTGAACCTTCTTCATGGCAAATTTAGTGTGATTCCTGGGCTCCGAGCAGAGCAGGCTTTGTGCGCAAAGCAACAGGCAGCTGTGACTGTGAGTTTTGGGCCACTGCAAAAGGTGGAACAGGAAAACAAAATTCTCGGGTTTAGTGATCAACTTATTTTTGCACGCAGGCCTATTTTTCAGAGGAGTATTAATTGTCTTTAAAGAGCCGTGATTGGTTTAGATCTGCTTATCCTATTGTTCTCCTAGCAAGCAGTCCGGGAACTTTTTGGGAGCCCTCAATGCTTAATTTTATCTTCAATGATTATATCCCTTTTTCCTCACGGTCTCCCTACTTTAGCCCATTTTACTATTTTCCCCCTGAAAATTTTAAAGGTGAATTATGTGCTGGTTTGCATTAGCAGACTGTTCTCTGAGAATCAATTAATCTTTTTAAAAAAATCAGTGTTAAAATCATCCTGTAAATTGCTGCCATTTTAATTGTTCTTCCCTTCCCCTTCAAACTTACAGGGACGGCTTCCAGTAAAGTGGATGGCTCCAGAAGCTCTGTTTGACAGAGTTTACACGCATCAAAGTGATGTGTAAGTGGCCTTATTTGAACGGGGTTTTGGGCGTTGGGAAGGAGGGTTGTTTTGGTTTGTGTTTGTTAAAGTTTGGGATATTTTAAATGTATTTTCCTGTTGTCCTTTACCTCTAAGTGTTTTCATTCTGTTTCACATGTTAATAGATGGAAGAGGACTTGCCCTTAGAAAGTGAGGATTTTATGGTAGACTGCTAACCAGTGCTCTGTTACTAATCTGCCCAGCTTCAAAGCACATGAAAGGTGGAAAATGCTAACCACCTCCTGTCACTGCGGAAGTTTCCCTCCTTGAACTTATTTACGGATGTGCAGCTACAAAGAGTCTATCTAATTTGCTTGGCTTTTGACATACTCTGGACTTCCTTCAGGTTTTTGTTGGTTTTTTTTTTTTTTTTAAAGAGAGAGAGAGAGAAAAGAAAGAAAAGAAAGTTCCTGAAAACTTCTTATAAAAATTTGTGCTAAGATTAGGTATAATAAACCATAGGCTGGATACACTGGAAAATTTTTCTCTGATTTTTAGAAGTGGTGTTGCTTCCCAGCAGTACTTCACATGTAGTAGGAAATCATTGGACTCTGACACTTCAAAATCTTTTAGTGTGTGCACAGATTCGCTGGCTGATGCAACCACTTAGGATTTATTCTGCTTCCTATTACAGTTTCCTAGGCCTATCTTCAGTACTCGCGTGCATTGTGCTTGAAGTAGACATGTATTTTTTTATGCAATACAGATGAAGAGCTTATGGTTTTTATTTCTCCAAGAGAAACTGTTAACTGTAAAGGGCTGGATGCTTCCCAGCACAGGTGTAAAAGGTTATGCTTGTCAGTGCAGGGTTAAAAAGAAAAAGGGCAGGGTGGAGAAAATAAGAGGTATCTCCTCTTTCTTTAACCTGGGTGCACTTCCCAAGCTGCTCTCCCCTTAAGAAAAAGCATTTACTGAGGCTTTTCCTGCAATCTTTATGTTATTTACAAAAGAAAATATATACACAGGTTAGGGGTGGTTAATACACTTATTCAAACTCTTGTTTTAAAATAACATCTTGACAAAATATTGAAGTGAATGTGAAGTAGCCTACTTCACTGGTTCAGGACTGAAAGTCAGTCTGAGCTCCTCAGCAGCCAGGCAACACGAGGATTTCAGTGCTGGAACTTGGAGGCTCTTGGCCCCATAGTGGCTTTGAAGATGGGTAAAGATAATATTATTGTAATTTTGTGCAAGCAGTTTACTAAAATACACTGCTGCAAAGCTAGGAGAGTTTCAGAGAAGCTCAGGAGCCAGTGCAAGCTGTGTCCTGTTGCTCACCTGGCAAAGCCGCCTGCCAAAGAGCCCTAGGTTGCCAGCAAGGCGTGATGAGGCAGGCTCTGGAGGAGGTGGCAAGCAGGCAGGAAAAGTGGCTTAAAATGATCCTACTTCATTTCCCAACAAAAATGAATTAGAAAAAATAAAAGAGCAGAATGATGCAGAATATTTTTGTTTTGAACAGCCTGCTTTTTCCACAATACCCCGCCACGTAATTGCAAACCAGTTCAGCTGTGAGCGTTCTGTAAATAATTAAGCTGCGAAGACGCAGTTCTTTGCAGTAGCCTTGGAAACTTGGGTGCTCGGAGCACACCAGACAAAGGCGAAGAGTGCGTTTGAGAACATGCTCGGGTCGGTCCCTGTTGCCGCCCGTGCACCTGATGCACTTCACAGATGGATGTCCTGCTCCGGGCGGTCAGAGTTGGGCAGATGCTGAGCTAAGCATCTCCCGAGAGGGATTGGCAGTCATTGCATCTGCCACAGACGCATCTCTGTTTTCAGCAGTAAGGCAGATCTTCTAATGCCATTTTCTCTTTGATTTGTAGTTGGTCATTTGGTGTGTTAATGTGGGAGATCTTCACGCTAGGAGGATCGCCCTACCCAGGAATCCCAGTGGAGGAACTTTTTAAGCTGCTTAAAGAAGGGCACCGAATGGATAAACCTGCCAACTGCACCAATGAACTGTAAGGACCCTTATTTGCTGTACGAGGATGGAAGGGCACAAACCATCCTGAATTCACATGGTTAATGCTATCCCTGGCAGAATCAAACATTTTCAGAATTGCTTGACTCTAAAATTGTGGATATATGTGTGTGTATAGATGTGTACAGAAAAGGTATGAATAGGTCTTCAGGAAATGTTTGACAGAGGATAATTCTTTACACACCCTGCTGTGATCCCATTGAAAAAAGAAGAGATCATCTATAAGCCAGTCTTCGTCAGTGTTTTTACACCCACACTTGTTTTATTTTAATCTCATTAACATGAAAATTCCTAAATGGCACACATACCACTAATCATATGTAAAGGTGTATCAGGCTGGTTTTGTACACAACAAAATACATCTGGGAACTTCTGCATTAACACAGCATTATCTCCTCGTGATGAGGGGAGAGTGTCCTCCCTGTCTGATATTTCAGTATAGCCCTTAACTGGTTTTAATTTTTTTCCCCATTTTAATTTCTTCACAAAGGCTGCAATCCCTCACATGCAAAAATATTTAGAATCATAGAATCGTTTAGGTTGGAAAAGACCTTTAAGATCACCCAGTCCAACCGTTAACCTAACATTACCAAGTCCACTACTAAACCAATTCAGGGTAGAGTAGCAATTTCGTGTTTCCTGGCTTGGTGGCTGGATTATTTATAATGAATGTAAAAACTAGGAATCATTAAGATTGGAAAGGACCTCTAAGATCATCAGTCCAATCATCAACCCAACACCACCAATTTAAGCATGTGTAGTTTAGTACCGGGGACATTCCTGGGAATTCTGAAATTCCTGGGACAGAAGGCTACAGAATCAGGTCCACAAAAAGGTAATTTAGACACTGGGCGAGAGAGATACAGGAGTAGAAATGCGCCTTTGAGGGAAGTGAGAGTATTGTGAAATTTTGGGAAAGTCAGTAGTCCATGTGTAGGGCTGTGGGTGCTTGCTGCTTTACTTGTGACGTGCAAGAACATTGACTGTGTATGAAAGGGTTTGCAAGAAGGACGTGTGATTTTAATTAAGCCAAGAAAATGTGTAATTCTTACAGCTATATGATGATGAGAGATTGCTGGCATGCTGTGCCTTCACAGAGACCGACTTTTAAACAGTTGGTAGAAGACTTGGATCGGATTCTCACTCTCACAACTAATGAGGTAGGTAAACTGTTTCCCTCCATAAGCTGCTGATCAGGACAAATGGTTCAGGAGACAGATGGAATTTATTCAATTATGAAATCCTGCTCAAGTTCTCCTCTTGTTCTGTTTGTTGTTGTCCTCTGAGGTTAAACGCAGCTAAACTATGTATCCTATGAAATCCTTGGTTTCTTGCCATTATGCCTTCATTTATGTAACTAAACAGAAACACATCTTTAAAGTGTTTTTGTTTATTTCTCATTGCATCTTTTGATGTTTTTAGCATAGCAGTATCGAGGGACTACACGTGGCAGGTTGAGAGGCAATGTTTATGTTTCAACATGATTTCATGTGAAGGAGAGATGTAGAGTTCATGGTGTTTTTCATTTATTGACTCAGTTTGATTCCCAGACATGATATCTAGGTCAGAAGAGGAGAAATCGTCAATGGTAGATTTCAGATTATATGTCTGACAGTGAATTAGGTTCACTGAAATAGCACTCTGTGGAGAGAACGAGGACCCACGGGGAACGTGCGAACAGCCATCCAATTATCCAAAGGTCCTGCCTAACACTGCTTCAGGTTGGGATATATGAATGCAAAAAGGTTTTATTTGAAGAGCATTCTTTCAGAGGTCTGAGATATTATTAGTTTTAGCAAGGAACACACTGATTAGTGTATTCACACAGGAATAGGTTCTCTTATCACTAAATCCCATGCACCTTTGGGGAAGATCACAAGTGGTGGAAATGTTGATTATTTTGGTAGAAACTTCTTTTGAGAGAAAATGCTTGATGTCCCAGAAATATTTTACAAATTCCTGTCATTTCTGACAGGGAGGAAAAAAGAGCAACTTCTTTTGAGAGAAAATGCTTGATGTCCCAGAAATATTTACAAATTCCTGTCATTTCTGACAGGGAGGAAAAAAGAAAAAAACCCTTACAGAAGAATGTTGCAACAAATTTTTTTGGCCATTTCAAAATAATTTTTTCACATTTGCTATGATTATAGCACTTCTTTATAAGGCAGGTGGGGAGGTAACAAAAAAGATTTGGATTGCTTTATATTGGTCCTTAACATTACTTTCTAATTTTTCAGAATTGTCAGAGAAATGAAAGATGGATTATTAAGAAGCATTAGGAAAGCCTGTATGCAATAGAGATGACGGGAGAACCTGAGTAAAGAGATGCTATTTTTTCTGATCATCATTTGCCCAGTAGATCCAGTTGAAAAAGATTTTGGCTTCAGTAGTAGCTATAAATTTATCTGGGTTCTGTTTTGTAAGGTTTACTCTAAGCAGCGGCACCTTCAAGGATGGCTCAGAGATGAGGCAGGAATATGCGCACCCTACGGAGTCGGTAACGCAGCTCTGCGTACCGTTACCATTTTCCCCTCATCCAGTACTGACTGCGTCTTTTCCTGCCTAATTTATATATGATTTCACAAGACCGGTTGGAGTTGGGCTGGCTGCCACTGCGGAGTGCTGGGTGGCTTGGACTGGATACGCATTTGCAAATTCAAGAGGGAGGTTCTGGGCTACAATTCTGAGCCTGGGAAAGGATATTGCTTTCTTTTTTGTGTGTGTTTAACCATCTTGCCTTCCCAGTTCTGTACTGCTCATGGACCTGGAATGATCTCAAAGGTAACCTGAAAAGGCCTTTAGGGTTATGTAAATTACTTTAGACTGGAATCATAGGAAAAACGTCTGGAGAAAGCTCAGGAACACATCCAGTCCATCTGATCGGCCTACGGCAGGATCCACTATACATTTGTCATTCCTGACAGATGTTTATGTAACTTGTCCTTAAAGATCTCCAGTGCTGTATTTCCGCATCACCCCTTGACAGTCTATTGCTTTGTTTCATTAGCTTTCCTTCTTGAAAGTTTTTCCTAATCTCTAATCTTTCAGCATAAGATACTGCTTTTGTCCTATTTACCCTGGACAAAGAAAGCAAATTATTTCACTTGTCCTTGCAACACATTTTATGTTCCTGAAATCTCGTCGTGTTCTCACTCAGTGTCTCCTGAGAACTTCCATGTGTCCCATTTTCCTCCTTAGCTTGTGCTTTTGAGACCTCTGATTTTGTGTAGTCTGCACAGTTTTCCTGAAGTGCAGGTCCTTCAAGCATCAGTCCGACAACACTTCTGCTTATCCACTCCACGGTGGCACTTTCCCTTTCCCCTTGAAATTACACCGTTGATGCAGGGCCAGCCTGGTTTGCCCAAGAACTCAAAAAATTGCTAGGGCAGCCAATAGTATCTTCTTCTGCATTTGTGCAAGTAACTATTTCTGCTTAAATGGTAATGTTTTGCTCTTCTCCATGCTGAATCATCACCTGTTGGGTTTTTTTGTTGGTCTTTTGGGTTTTTTTTTGGGGGGGGGGTGGTTTGGGGGTTTTTGGGGGACAGTTTTTTTGTTTGGTTGGTTGTTTTTTTTGTTTTGGTTTGTTTTCTTTCCCCAAAAGACCCTATTCCCCGTGTTTCTCAGAGTAGTGTGCAATGTTTCCCCAATCCGCATGAACAGAAGTTGCCAAGAGTCAGCCTCATGGCTGTGTCATTACATCAACACCAGGAACCATCCTGGTACTGGGAACTTCTTATGCCCTTTTATGCAACTCTGGCCCTTGACACTGGATAAGGAGGTTGGTGTTGGTGGTTGGAGAGGGGATAAAGATCCCACCTTCAATACTGAATTCATAACTGAATTGTATCAAGCCTTTTAATATGACGAGCTATGCCTGCTGTCCCATGTGAAAGCCCTGTTTTTTCAAATACTGGAAAACTTTCTTCTTCTGTCTGTCTAGAAAGCGGTTGATTATTTCTGGTCACATAGGACTGGTTTGCCAATATATAAATAAGGATCAAGGTTGTCCTCATGGATCTTTTAAAAGCCTAGGCAGTGAGATAGGCAGTGATCACAGATCCAGACTGCCTTCTCTTGCTGTCTACTGTATTTGTCGGCATTTTAAAACTTACATTCCCCCCCTCTTTTAAAATGGTGACCATTTTTTAACTATGGTATGGTAATGATTGAATTTCTGACTTAAAAAAATATGTTAACCAAAGAACTAAATTACCCCAAACCTAAGCACAGCAGCATAAAATACTGACTGAGGTGGAAGACTTGTCTCGTCAGTATGATCATAACTTGTGGTTTAGCAAATGAAGAGATTGCATTTAAATGAATGCAGCTGCCTTTAGAAGTTGAAAGAGAAGGAACATTTCAAGGGGAAAAATAACTTTATTCTCCTGCCAAAACTGTTGTTTCTAGCAAAACAGTCTTAACCCAAAACTTGGATTCAGCAGATATTATTTCCTTTTTTAATGACTGCTTTGGTCATGGCTACTCTGAGGGACACACACACACATATGCACACACACATGAATATGTAGTGTAAAAAACCCAAATCTAGTGAATTTAATTTTGTTGTCCTTTCAGTTCTTTTTT